TATATAATATATATTATATATATAATATATATAATATATAATATTATATATATATATATAAAGATTATTTAGGAGACAGTACCTGGGGCAGGTCGAACGTAAATTTGCCCTTCTCCACTTTCTTCAAAATGTCAAATTCATTCGCCCCGTTAAACGGCGGACAGCCTAAGCCAAACAAACAAATATGCTCAAACAGCTTCATTAGCTAGCTAGCTAGCTAGCTAGTTATAGCTAGCTAGTTATAGCTAGCTAGCTATGGATAGATAGCTAAATATGTAATTGTAACAAACAAACAACACAATTGAGCCATCATTATTGCGCAGCAGCAGCAGCAGCAGCAGCGGCAGCAGTAGCACAGGCCCTGCAGCAGCAACACCTACAGCAGCCCCTGCAGCAGCAGCAGCAGCAGCAGCAGCAGCGTGTTACCTGATAGAAGGATGTAGAGGATGACTCCAGTTGACCACACATCGCACTTCTCGTCGTACGTCCCGTGCAGCACCTCGGGGGCGATGTAGTATGCCCTGCAGCAGCAGGAGCAGCAGAAGCAGCAGAATCAGCGTGAACACTTGCTGTTGACTGTAGTCATTGGGAGAGATAGCAACACTCGAAAACTCTGCTGCTGCTGCAGCAACAGCACCGTATACATCGGCAACATCAACAAGCAGGCTTGCAACAGCAACAGCAGCAGCAGGAAGAGCAGCCATGAGCAGCAGCAGCAGCCGCCCACGCAGCAGCAGCAGCAGCAGCAGCAGCAGCAGCAATAAGGTGATGCAGCAACGTACGTGCCGATTTTATCTTTCATCTTCTTGGTTGGTTCGAAGTGGGTAGAGAGGCCGAAGTCGATGATTCTGATGTTTGCGTCTTTTCTTTTATTTTCAAGCAGCAGATTCTCTGGCTTTAAATCCCTATGAACAACTTTATTCTTGTGCATGTATGTTATCCCTGATAACACTTGACGAATTATACGCGCCGCATCCACCTCGCTGCACACACATACACAAACCCTAAACCCTAAACCCTAAACACTAAACCCTAAACCCTAAACACTAAACATCAAACCCTAAACCATAAACCGTAGAAGGGTTTAAACGTGTTTAATAGGGTTTATCTGATTATTGCATGTTTTTAAAGGGGTTTAAATGCCTCAAGAAAAGACAGAAAACAGCAAGAGAGTTAGTTCTTGAGGTTGCATGAAGGGTTTACGAGAGCTTATATAAATTAAAAGGGTTAAGGTGAAGTAGAAGGGATAATATGAAATAAAAGGGGCAGTATAAATTAAAAGAGTTCAAAGAAAATCAGATAAAGACTGAATGAAAAGAAGAATTGCTTTAACACGAATTTAATAAGACGGGGTGTATATGTAGGTGTGTTTATTATAGTGTGAAAGTAGAGAAAAAATTAAAGTAAAATGTTTAAAAACGGCTTGACGTAGTTCGTTAGACAGATAATTTAAAGGGGTAAAAGAGTTTAAATAAATAAATAAATAAATAAACAAAATAAAATAAATAGATAAAATGAAGTCCTCACCTGAATCTCTTTCTACTAATAATCTCGTCAAAGAGCTCCCCTCCAGTGTATACTTCCGTAACTAAATAAAAATAACCTTTATCTTCAAAGAATTCGTACAACTTCATTATATTTGGATGGTCTAACTTCTTTAACAACTCGACTTCTTTCAACAGCAGCTCTCTGTCTGTCTTCTGCTTTACCTGACGCTTTGATATTACCTTCACCGCATACTCCTATAAACAACAATCATAATAATTACAATAATCATATAATTATATAATTATATAATACATGCATGCATGCATGCATTGTACAAAGTTTGTTTGATTTCACTCAGAGGTTTTATTATTATAGACATCTACTGTACAATATTCTATATATATATATATAATATAGATATGAGCATTATATATATACATATATATATACATATATATATATATATACATAAACAAATATATATATATATATATTATTTTTCGTATTATTTTCTCTCGCTTTGTTTTTCTTTGCCTTTCACTTTCATTTTAAAAGTACGACTGCCTGGCAGTGTATACATTTACTCTGCACATTAAATTAATTAATTAATTTAATTAATTAATTGAAGTAATTAAATGAATTGTTATTTAATCAAAGACCCCTCACTTGTCCTGTAACTTTATCTTTACACAATATCACCTCCCCGAAACTCCCTTTGCCCAGCACTCGCTGACCCTTATACCTGCAAACAAATAAAAATAAATTAATTAAATTAATTAAATAAATTAAATAAATTAAATAAACTAAATAAACGAAATAAATCAAATAATATAAATAATATTAATAAAATAATGTATCAATAATATACATACCTATATATATATATGTATATATATAATATATATATATATTATATGCATTTATGAATGCATGCATATTTAGGTATTCAAGTGTATATGTATAATATATAAAATATATATATATATATAAACGAAACAAATAAAACAAAAAAAAGACAAACAAATAGTCATCAGGTAAACAAAAAACGAACAAACAAACAAATTGATTATGAAGAGACAGACAAAGACATCAAGAAAGACAGAAATTCAACAACTCAAGCAGCAGCAGCAGCAGCAGCAGCAGCAACAGCAGCAGCCGCAGCAACGGCAGCATCAATAGCACCAACAGCTGCAGCAGCAACAGCTGCAGCAAACTAAGAGCGACAACCACTAGAAGGCTCAGCTGCTTTATGCACACATAATAACAGAAATGAAAACGAAAGTCAGTGCAGCAGAAAGACAGACAATAAAAAATACAAACAGCTGCTGGGCGTGCATACACCCTAAGGTGGTGAGGCTCAGCAAAATAATATTATTATAATAAAGGTAGCAGCAAAGCAAAACAAAAATATAAAAAAGAAGACAAGGAAAGAAAGGAAAAAGACAAAGAAAGACAATAAAGCAGCAGCAGCAGCAGCAGCAAAACCACCTGCAGATACACCGGGTGTATCTGCAGGTCCGTTGCAGCAACAAATAACTGGCAGTAATAATGAAGAAACAAACAAAGAAAGACACTAGCAGCAATTAGCAGCAGCAGCACACAGCAGCAGCAGCAGGTAGTAGCAGCAGCAGGTAGCAGCAGCAGCAGCAGCAGCAGGTAGCAGCAGCAGCAGCAGATAGCAGCGGCAGCAGCAGATAGCGGCAACAGCAGACAGCAGCAATCCGCAGCTCGTTGCTGCTACGTGAGACAAGGCCCAGAGGCAAAGAAAAGACAATGAAGGAGGAGTCAAGAGACACGAAACAGACAAATAAATAAAAATAAATAATAAATATAAATAATAAATAATAAAACGCACCTATCGCTGAAGGCAGCAGTGGAGTGCTGCACAAACATCCCTGGGGTTGCTGCCAGCTTGTCGCTTGACGAAGATGCTGCAGCAACAAACAAACAAACGCTAATGCTGCTGCTGCTGCTGCTGTTGCTCTTGCTGTTGCTGCTGTAGGTCACAGACAACACGCCAAAGCCATCCTTATATAAGCAGCAGCAACAAGCAGCAGTTGCTGCTGCTCTCAGTGCTGCTCTGCTGTGTTCAATGCCCCTTCCGGTCGCAGCAGCCCCTGCTGCAACAGCTGCTTTAGATGCTGCTGCTATTGCTGCAGCAGCAGCAACAACAACAGCTGCAGCAGCAGCAGCTGCTGCCTGTGCTGTTGACCGAAAGCATTCGACTCAACGCGTCAGCAGCAGCCGCACCCGCAGAAGCGTTAGCAGCAGCCGCACCACCTGCTGCATCAACAGCAACAGCAACAGCAGCAGCAGCAGCAGCAGCTGCTGCTGCTGCTGCTGCTCCCACTGCTGCCAGCTGCAGCATCGACTCATCCGGCTCCCCCCAGCCACCCATGGGCTGGTGGCGTCGAAGTAAGAGAAATGCAGAGATCCCCAAAGAAGTGCAGCAGCAGCAAGAGCAGCAGCAGCAGCAAGAGCAGCAGCAGCAGCAGCAGCAGCAAAGAGGCTAAGACCATCGTACCTGGACGCTGTGGCTGCCTGGGGCGGCTCTCGCCAGAGAGAGAGGAGCCTTGCTGCCCCATCTTGACGAAGCAGTTGCTGCTGCAGCAGAGTTTATTTTAATCCTCAAAGAAGAAGGAAGTCGTAAATATTCAAAAGCCGCAGCTTCGCAGCAGCTGAAGCAGCAGCAGCAGCAGCAGCAGCAGCAGCAGCAACACGCACAAGTGAAGAAAAGAAGACCCTACCTAAAAGAAACAGAAGCAGTATATATAAATAAATATATAAAAGCAGGAAATAGAATCTACAATAATTGCTGCTACATGAATGAAGATGCATACAGCAGCAACAACAACCCCTAAGCTGCACACCCAGCACGAACCACTTTGGTCCTGGCTGCTGCTGCTGCTGCTGTTGCTGCTGCTGCTGCTGCTGCTACTACTGCTGCTACTGCTGCTGCTACCTACCTGCCCTGTTGCTGCTGCTGCAGCTGCTGATTTTAATGACAAGCCTCGGCTTTAATAAATACCGATCAAAGAAAATAAAGCATAACCAGACAATTTGCCCGCAGACGCCTTTGCTGCTGCTGCTGGCAGTTGCAGCAGCTGCTGCTGCTGCAGCAGATGCAGCAGCAGCAGCGGCGAGCCCAGCTGTAGCAACGCCAACAGCAACAGCAGCACTAGACGCCTCCGCTCCCGAAATAGCTGCTGTAAATAAAAGCAGCATATTTTTTTAATAAATAAAAAGCCTTCTCAATTTAAAGCTTCTACGTCCGCACCTTCCTGTTGCTGCTGCTGCTGCTGCTGCTGCTGCTGTTGCTGCTGCTGCTTGGGGGCTTGGGTGGGCTGCTCGCTTTGCAAGTCTGTTGAAACCTCAAATGTGTATTTATCTGTTAGTGTTTATCTCAAGGAGCTCTATATTGCTGCTGTTTAGGGAGGCGTTGCTGCTGCTACTGCTGCTGCCGTTGCTGCTGTTGCTGCTGCTGTTGCTGTTACTTGACGGACATTGCATGTCAGCAGCAAACCTGTGGCCTTGCTGTTGCTGCTGCTGCTGCTGCTGCAGGAAGCTGCACCCCACACAGCTTTCTGCATGCATTCAGAAACCCTTCTTTGCCTTCTTAGAGGGGGGCCGGGGGCTGGGATCGTCCGATCCCACGCGCGGGATCGTCGATCCCAGTGGGGTCCGGTCCTCATAACAATCAGGGAGCGCAGCTGCAGCAGCTGCTGCTCTCAAAGCATGCATGCGTGCATGCATGCACGCAGCTATCTAAGGCCTACTGAGGTGTCTGTACACCTCAAAGAAAGCCCGGGCCTCAAAGGAGGCAAACATCGCCCCGCCCCTCCTAAGGACCTCCTCCACTGAAGCTGCTGCTTCATGCTACTGCAGCCATGCTGCTGCTGCAGCGGTGCTGCCCTGCGCTACGATGCTGCTGCAGTGCTGCTGCAACGGCGTCAGCTTGTTGCTGCTGCTGCAGCGGGGCGTGTGCTGCAGCGGCGACTCCTGGCTTGTCTCTGCTGCAGAGTTGCTGCAGCTTCTGTTCTATTTCTTCTGTTCATTGTTTTGTTCAGTCAAGCAAAGAGGGGCATCCGACAGCTAGCTAGCTAGCTAGACAGCTAGCTAGCTAGCTAGCCAGTCACCTAGCTAGCTAGCTAGCCAGTTACCTAGATAGCTAGATAGCCAGCTAGCTAGCCAGACAGCAAACTAGTTAGGTAGCTAGCTAGCCAGCTAGTTTGCTGTTAGCTAGCTAGCTAGCTATCCAGACAGCTGGGACCCCTCTCTAGTGCGTGGTAGCCGCATGCAGCCACAGCTAGCTGTTTCTAGCTGTACGTGCTGCAGCAGCACAAGGTCTGGCCGCGTATTGCTGCTTCCGTGCAGTGTCTCTGTTTGTCTCCGTCTGTCAATCTGTCTGTCTCTCTCTCTCTCTATCTGCCTCTTTCCTTCTGTCTCTGTCTCTGCATCTACATATATATATATATATATATAGAGAGAGAGAGAGAGAGAGAGAGAGACAGACAGACAGACTGACAGACAGAGACAGAGACAGAGAGACAGAGAGTAAGAGAGAGACAGATTACATATACAAATATAAATATAAGCATAAATAAATATAAATATATATAAATATAAATATAAATATATAAATATATATATATATATATTTATGTTTCTCTTGTCTCCTTCACTTTAATAATTTCGGTGTACTGGCGTTTGTATTTAAATACAAATAAAGACAGCCGTTTACTGTACAGAGATGCCGATACACCTCAGCAGCAGCCTGCTGCAGCACGAGCTGCAGGCAGCAGCAAAGCAGCAGGGCCTTCTTCTTCCACCCCCCAAAGCAACTACTAAAGGAGACAGAGAAGGAGACAGTCTCAGCTGCAGCAGCCAACCACCTGCTGTCAAATGCACGGTTTGCTGCTGTTGCTGCTGCTGCTGCTGCTGCTGCTGCTGCTGCCCATGCGTCGCTGCTTCTGTCTCCTGTTCTCAGCAACACAGCTCTAGGGGAAGCTCGCAGCAGGGAGCTGCAGCAGCAGCAGCAGCAGCAGCAGCAGCAGATGGGGATATTTGCTGCCGCTGCTTCCCTAAGGGCCCCCACCGCCCCTCCAAGGGACTTCCTTTGAAGTGCCGACATCCGGAAGGAAGCGTGCTGCTGCTGCTGCTGCTGCAGGTGCTGCTGCTACTGCTGCGGGTGCTGCTGCTGCTGCTGCTGCTGCTGCTGCTGCTGCTGCTGCCGGTGCTGCTGCTGCAGCAAATCCCCCAGAAGGCCTCACCGCAATCCCAGGGGCACCGCGGCCCAACTGTGCAGCGCCAGCAGCTGCTGCTAGAGGGACAGCAGTAGCAGCAGCAGCAGGAGCAGCAGCATGAAGACCCGCCAGCGTCCCTCGTGGTGGTGGTGCTGCTGCTCCCGTTGCTGTTGCTGCTGCTCCTGCTGTCGCTGTTCGCGCTGCTGCTGCTGGTGCTGCTGCTGCTGGTGCTGCTGCAGAAGGTCGCCGTGTGGCTGCTGCCTCACCCGAATGTACGGCAGTCGCTGAGAGTGTTCTCTGTGGAGTTGCTGCTGCTGCTGGTGTTGTGGCTGCAACAGCAGGTGCTGCTGCTGCTGCTCCTGCTGCTGCTTGAGGAGCTGCAGCAAGAGAGGCACTCGCTGCCCTATATCCAGCACGGGAAGCTGCAGCTGTGAGAGACGCCGCTGCAGTCGGTGTTGCTGCAGCTGCTGGGGTTCTTACTGCAGCAGCAGCTGCTGATGCTGCTGCTGCGGGAGTTGCTGCTGCTGCTGCTCTGAACTGGCCGTTGGCACTCCTGTTGCTGCTGATGCCTCGAGGCGATGCAGCAGCAGCAACAGCAGCAGCAGCAGCTGCAACAGCAGCACCGCGCTGGCTTCCAGCAGCGCAGGGGCTCGCAGACCTTTCTCTTTGCAGGGATCCACGGCTGCTTTGCTGCTGCTGCTGTTGCTGCTGCTGTTGCAGCTGCTGCTGCGAAGGCGAACGGCCCGCTGCTGCAGTCTCCCCATCCAGCAGCAGCGACACCTCCGTCAGATGACCTCGTATTCCACTCAATGCGCCGCCGCCTGCAGCAACGCAGCAGCAGCAGCAGCAGCAACAGCAGCAGCAGCAGCAGCAGCGCACACCATAAGTGCGGGCAGTAGCTACTAGAGATAGCAGCAGCAGCAAAGCGCAGCAACTGCAAACAAAGAACAGCTGCAGACGCTGTACCTCCCAGCAGCAACCCCCCCAGAAGCAGCATGGTCACCAGCAGCAACAGCAGCAGCAACAGCAGCAGCAGCAGCAGACCGTCATCTCCGTAGTTTCTTGTGGTGTAGTAAACGACAAGAGACTCTGTGGGGTAAGCCAAAGACAGAGGGTGGAGAGCAGCAAGAGTTATGTTAGGAGAGAAGGGCAAGCGATGCTCCTTCGTATACAGCCGCAGCTCCCCAATCTGCTGCTGCTGCTGCTGCTGCTGCTGCTGGCGGTTGAGGCGAGCTGCGATGAAGCGGCAGAGCTGCAGCACCGTGCTGCTGCCGTCTGTGCACAATTTGTTTTGCTGCAGGAGCGGAAGCTGAGGCAGCAGCGGGTCGGGGATGAGTTCAAACCGTAGGCGCACTGCTGCTGCTGCTGCTGCTGCAGTGTCTCCCTCTGCTGCTGCTGCTGCTGCTGCTGTTATAGCACTTTGCTGCCTCCGCAGCAACACAGACAGCTCCCGTCGCAGCCGCTTCCTCTCTAGAGGAGGCAGCACAGCTTGCATAGCCATGGTGAGGTACTTGCAGTTGCCTGCTGCTGCTGCTGCTGCTGCTGCAGCTGCTGCTGTTGCTTCCGCTGCTGTACCAGGCGCCTTCCCCTGCTGCTGCTGCCGCTGCATCGGCTGCCCCGAAGCATCGATATAGGGGGGTGGTGTGGGGGGTCGCAGCAGCAGCTTTGAGTACACAGGACTGCTGCTGCTGCTGCTGCTGCTGATGCTGGTGACGCTGCTGCTACTACTACTGCTGCTGCTGCTGCTGGTAGGCGTCCCTATAACCTTCTTTAGTGGTTGCTGCTGCAATTCAGTAAAGCCATCTACAAGGCTGCGTTTGCAGTTAAGAGAAGCATCTGTTGCTGCTGCTTGCATCTGCGGATTTGCTGCAATTCCCGCTGCTGCGGCGGCAGCAGCAGCAGCTGCTGCTGCTGCTGCATGTTCTGCTGCAGCACCCTGATTTGAATGAAGCCTCTGGTTTGCTCTTGCTAGCAGCAAGTTGTGCTGCTCTTCAAAAGATTTAAGTGAGGGGAACAGCTTCTCTATCACCCGATCCAGCGCTGCGTTTGGGCGCAGACTCCGACGAGAAGCAACGTGAGAACGACACTGCAGCAGCAACAGCAGCAGCAGCAGCAGCAGCAGCAGCAGCACAAGCAGAAGCAGTATAAGCAGCAGCAAAAGCAGCACAAGCACGAACAGCAGCAGCTGAGGAAGGAAGACGGAGAGAGGAGAAGGCGGGACCCCAACGCCTAAACCCTAAACCCTAAACCCTAAACCATAACCCCTAAACCCTAAACCCTAAACCCTAAACCCTAGACCCTTTCTCCTCTACCCCACAAGCCGTATAAACCCTAAACCCTAAACCCTAAACCCTCTCTCGTCTACCCGACAAGCCCTAAACCCTAGAAATCCCTATCCCCTAAACCCTACCCCCTAAACCCTATCCCCTAAACGCTAAACCCTAAACCCTAAACCCTAAACCCTAAACCCTAAAGCCTAGTTGAGGTGTATGTATACCTGGGGGCATTCTCTGATGCCGATTCGAACGCATTTTTCAATGCACTCTGCGCAAAATCTGTGTAGGCAGTTTTTAACGACTAAAGTTTGTTTAATAATAGACATGCAGATAGAGCAGCACAAGTCTTCTCTTAAACGAACGCCGTTAAAGGTCCTCCGCTGCTGCAGCAGCTCCGCAGACACCCGACGCGCTCCTGCTGCTGCTTGCAGCAAAGATATTGAACTCGGAAGCCGCTGCTGCAGCAAACGATAATATATCCAATCCCGACCCCACAGGGTACCGTGCTCCTTATCATATGCTAGCCACTGTCTTGAACGCTCACTCAACCTGCTGCTGCTGCTGCTGCTAGGGGTGCTGCTGCTGATAGGGGTGCTGCTGCTAGGGGTGCTGCTGCTGATAGGGGTGCTGCTGCTGATCGAGGTGCTGCTGCTGCTAGACGTGCTGCTGCTGCTGCTGCTGTTGGCGGTGCTGCGGCTGCTGCGGCTGCTGCTGCTGGTGCCACTAGTGCTGCTGCGGCTGCTGCTGCGGCTGCTGCTGCCACTGCTGCTATTAGTATAAAAATTGCTGCTGCTGCGGCTTGTGCGGCTGCTCGCAGCAACCGCAGGTCGGGAAGACGTAGCAGCGCTTGCTGCTGCTGCTGTTGTTGCTGCTCCTGCTGCTGCTGTTGCTGCAGCTGTACGAGCCTTGGATGCTGCCACACCAGGCTCAGGCTTTCCGCTGCAGCTGCTGCTGTTGCTGCTGCTGCTTCCTTTGTTGCTGCTGCTGCCCTGACTTGCCCCTGAGAGAGGTGCGCCTGCTGCAACGCCAGCCGAACCAACAGAAGCAGCACCAGGAGTTGCTGCTGCTGCTGCTGCTGCTGGCTGCCGCTGGGAGCTCCGAACACCGATGGCTGCAGCACCTGCCTCCTGAAGTTGCTGTTGCTGCAGCTCCTGTTTGTGTGTCCCCTGCTGCTGCTGCTGGTGCTGCAGGGGCTGCTGGCGCTTCACTTGCTCCTGCTGCAGTGAATGCTGCTGCAGTGGCTGCTGCTGCAGTTGCTGCTGCGGCAGTTGCTGCTTCTGCAATGGCTGTTGCTGCTGCCGTGGATGCTGTTGCAGTGGTTGTTGCTGCAGCTGTTGCAGTGGCTGCTGCAGCTGCTGCAGTGGCTGCTGCTGCAATCGCTGCTGCGGCAGCGGCTGCTGCTGTACTGGCTGCTGTTGCAGCGGCTGCTGCTGCTTCTGTGGCTGCTGCAGTGGCTGCTGCTGCTGTGGCTGCTGTTGCTGCTGTTGCAGTGGCTTCTGCTGCTGCTGCTGCAGGAGCTGCTGCTGCTGTTGCAGTGGCTGCTGCTGCTGCAGTGGCTGCTGCAGTGGCTTCTGCTGCTGCTGCTGTTGCAGTGGCTTCTGCTGCTGCTGCTGCTGCAGTGGCTGCTGCAGTGGCTTCTGCTGCTG